TTAAATTGTCCGTGCTTCACTTGCTGTTAGCTTTCCGACTCTCTCACTCACGAGCGTCCCAAAAGGCCTTGTGCGGAGACTTCAAAATAAAAGCACTTTACTCTTACCAAATAAAATCACTAAATAATACTAAAGGTAATTTATAATTACAGTTTGACAATTACAGTTTGTCCCTATTCTCTTAATGAGTAATGGGTGTGTTTTGGGATTTACGTGCGTTAAACCAATCAGAGTCTCATCCCTCATTCCATTTAAATGCCAGCAGATTAGCTATTTACATGGAGGAATTTGATAGTGAAAAGACCGAACGCGTCTCCAGAGCGCAAACGGATCTGCTCGTGCGCAAGGTTAAAGTGCGCAAGCAGACCATCTACAGGACAAGCCGGGTTCCTGTTCCTCCATATCTTTACGTACACAATAATAATCTTTTACATTGTAATCCTTTTATTTTAAATATTTGGCATGTTTGTGTGCTGCTGTGCGTCCCTGTGTGTTTAATAAGCAGAGTGTGTGTGTGTGTAATAAGCAGAGTGTGTGTGTAATAAGCAAAATGTTTGTGTAATAAGCAGAGTGTGTGAGTAATAAGCAGAGTGTACGCGCGATGTGGACCCGCCTTTAAATAATAATAAAAAATGCTGGACCACTGACTTTAGACCAGGTTGGTCAATGGCTCAGTCTATTTCTGTTCCTCAAAATAGCAACGCGCCAACAATGCGCCTGAACACACACCTGGTTCCCTTTCGTTCGGGAACTCCTACGTCTCGACGGAGGAGTTTCCAATGAATTGGGATCACGCTAGGGAGACCAATTGCCTTCGAGTGAATTAAAACGAGCCAATGAACATTGGCATGCAAGACTTGCATTCCGCGCCCCGCCTGCCAGTGCGGGTATAAAGCGGAAGCGAGCGCACACACATATGCTTTACGCTGAGGAGCCGGACGGTGTCCAGTCCTCCGCTAAGGTACAGCAAGCATGGTAACCGAGACGTTTTCAGCCCAGCCGCCCATGGGCGCACAAATGCATTTGCTATTTAAACAACGTGGCGCAGGACGTGAAAATGAAATCTGCCTCGGGCTGAAACTAGCAATAACCTTGCGTTTTTGCTTGGTGCTGCATTGTGTAAGATAGGGCCTGAAGATCGCTGGATAAAGGGCTGAATTTGGATCTGTTTCTTGCAAACGTATGGATTCTAAAGATTTGGATTACAACGAGTGAATAAAATGGATGTCTTTTGTGAATTTATATTGTGTTTTGGTGTTATACAAGCATATGGGACACTCAGAGGGTTCGGTTAAGCACTAGTAGAAATGGTGGTGGGGGTTTCCGGTTAGAGAAACTGGAGCAAGTGAGAGTGTCCCAGCAGAAGGGTTTTATTTAGATTAGCATAACGAGAATAGTCACTATACAAAACAGAAGTTACAGTAAATCACGTTATTAAATGTTAAATATTAGGTAGTATCTGTAAACCATACGTTCGCAGTACTTAAGTAAAGAGTATTCAAGTTAATAATAATAATAAGTCATTACATTTATATAACGCTTTTCTGGGTACTCAAAGCACTTTACATGGAAGGGGGAATCTCCTCCACCACCACCAGTGTGCAGCATCATCTAGATGATGTGACGTCAGCCACAGTGCGCCAGAACGCCCACCACACACCAGCTTATTGGTGGATAGGAGACAGAGTGAATCAGTATATGGGGATGATTAGGAGGCCATAATGGACAGAGGCCAAGGGGCAGATATGGCCAGGACCACCGGGGTTACACCCCTACTCTTTTCCACAGGACATCCTGGGATTTTTAATGGCCACAGAGAGTCAGGACCTCGGTTTAACGTCTCATCCGAAGGACGGTGCTCTTTCAGTATAGTGTCCCCATCACACTTCAAGTTGCAAGTTGCATTCAAGAGAATTTAGAATCTAAATATATAGCATAAAAAAATGTAGCTTACATATTTAAATTATACTGCAGAACATATACAACTAAACAGTATCAAACTAGCTCCAACATGACTTGACATGGACTTGGGCAGCATGCAATTTACACGAAAATATTATTATTTAAATTATTATTTGAACTAGTACAGTTCATGGATGACAGTAACTGAATACACAGAATATTAAAGTTTGAACAGCATAGAATGTAAAACAGATAACTTACTTCTTAATCAATCACTCACGGAAACTATAAACATGCAGCAGTCAAGAAATCAAGTCAGTCTGTGTATATAGACTGCCCTCTGATACTGGTTCAGAAATGCCCTGACTTGTCCATGTCCATGCCCATACAAGCACCAACAAAGTCACATACATAAAGATACCTCAAGGGGGCGTTGTTGGTTTTTCGTACAGGTGTGTTTTATGGTTCTATTGTCAACTATTGTTCTATAGGAGAAAATGGCTTTTATGTCTTACGGCAAACAATTTAAAATATTACAAAATGGTTAAACGATTAAAGAAACGTTATTCATTTTAAGGTTTTAAAGTGTAGTCTTGTTTATCATGTAATAATCCGAAATGATTTTGCAGCAGAAGTCACAAACAGAGCGAAATGTTATTTCTTATTAAGTAAATGAGTAAACTGCAATTAATAAATGTGACTGAAAACGTAACTGATAAGACAATTGAATGCAATAGATTCAAAACATTAATGGCACTATTTTTATATTCATAAATAGGAATACGTAAAAATTTGTATATCAGTAAAGTTTTTATTTATATATATATATATTACGAATTAGTGCTATAAATACATCAGTATTATACGTTTCTCTGTGTATTAAAACATAAATAAATGTACGTGTGGTAGAACTACACTTTACGTAAAAATACATAAGTATTCTCATGAGATCACGTTGCATTGAAGCTTGAATTTGTTGTCATAACTTATAATTTATAGATTTTATTTTCCTGTGGTCAGTTCAATTACTTCCTTTACAATGAACTTCTGTATGCTTTGCATTTATTAAGAGTAATTAATAATGATTATTATCAAAGAATATAAATAATGAGATTTGCATTTGTTAAATATATTATTTATATTAATCAATAATTTTGTTTTCAGGGATGACTGAGGTCTTTCTACAGTGGGCTTAAGAGTCAACAGTTTTTGTGTGTTAAGTTGATTTTGTTTATTATTGTTATTGTTTATTCGTTTATTTTATTTTTATGTCAGCTATATTTTTAAATGTCAGATTGGTTTTCATACAGAGCAATGTACATGTCACTTGTTCAAGGTTTTGTATTGTTTATTGTGAATGGCATATAATTAAGAACAGTAGCCTACATTAGACATCAAATACATAACATACTCTGCGCCTCTAAGGACTATTTTGCCGCTTTTCCACTGCATGGTACGGTACGGCTCGATCAGTCCCACCCACTTTGAAGCGGCACTAACTGCAGTGGAAAAGCAACCAAGCTAAAGCGAACTGAACCGCGCCGTACCAAGTCGAGTCGTACCGAGTCGAGTCGTACCACGCAGTGGAAAATTGAAGCGAGCCGAACTGTTCCGCGCCGAGTCGAATTATACCGAGCCGAACCGAGCCGTACCATGCAGTGGATAAGCGCAGGGCTTAATTTGAGCCGGAACACGCCGGAACACGTTCCCGCACCTCCGACGTTGGATCCGGAACCTTTTTTTATTGGATCCGGCACCTCCTGTGTCACTATGGAAAATTAATAATTACTGTTTGTGTAGTGTTCAATGTTGATATCTGTCTTGTTAGTCTTTATCCCCACTGAAGTTTCACAAAAATCTTGTGTTTGCAGTTTCGATGCGTTTTTGAGGTGAATTTTCGGCACACCGGACGAGAAGCGTCGCGCAGCATCGTGCAGTGCCACATCTTTAAAATTCTAACACATTATTCTCTATGTAGACACACCGGCAGCGCCATTCGGCGTTGCTAATGTAAATACTGTCTGACTTCACCCTGTGCTGCATACAATATACATTTAGTTTTACATTAATTTACAGAAATCAGTTGCTTGAATGAAAATTGCCTATATTATCGGATTTTCAGGTGAGATTCTCAATTAATTCAGTTAACGGACGCTCTTCAGAGTCTGCAGACTAGCAACGATTGTACAGTACAATCGTAACATAATACAGACATTATCTTAATTCCATAATGTCCTTAAACATAACAATATTGCTGGCCATAAACTGAGAAAGTGCGCGTCCGGTGTGCGATACCTCGAGTTGTCCTACGCGGCGCTTCTCGTCCGGTGTGCGACCCCCTTGCTGCTTGTGAAAACGTTTTTTTTTTTTTTACATTTTGCACACATGTAGTGCATGTTCTGAAATTAAAATAAACTTTGCCCTGATACACACACAGCGTTGTTAAGGTTTTTTTTTTAGTCAGAGAAGCTACGTAGCTTTTTTTTTTTTTGTACCGTTAGTCGCCGGATCCACCCCCCCTCTGCGCTCCGGGACCTCCCACTTTACAAATTAAGCACTGGATAAGCGCCATTTGTAACAACATGAACGAATGAAATAATACTTTCATATATACAGTCAAATGGGAAACACTTTCCAACATGTTACATGTTTAATTATAGCCACATCTGTTAGGAAATATGGTTGCCATTACAAACATTGACTGTGTGAAGGTATTTAGTGCTGGGCAACGATTAATCGCATCCAAAATAAAAGTTTGTGCTTACATAATATGTGTGTATAATTATTTCGTATATATATATATAAATACACAGACATGCATGTATATATTTAAGAAAAATGTATATTAATATATCATATAAATTATGTATAAATATATATACAGTATAAACATGCAAATATTTCTTAAAAATGTACATGCATGTGTGTGTATTTATATATACAAAATCATTATACAATACACACATATTATGTAAACACAAACTTTTATTTTGGATGCGATTAATCACGATTAATCGTTGCCCAATATATATATATATTATATATATTATTATTTTTTGATAAAGATTAATGCAAAGAAATGTGCATACAACACTCACCTAAAGACTGTATGGGGCCGATAGTGTCACTGGCTTCACTCACTCCCACTTTACCCACTATCCTGTAGCGGATCAAGTACTGCTTTCCAGACTCCAATCCAGTCAGAGTAAAGTCTTCATCAGCAGTGTTTATTATAATCCACTGTTCCTCAGCGCCAGAATCTGCTTTCACCTGCTGGTACTCCACTCTGAACTGCACAGTTTCTCCAGTTGGGGACTTCTGTAGTTTCAGGGACACACTATCCTCCAGGACCTTCTTCACTTCTGCTGGGGGAGGCTTCGACACGGGCTGGAACTGTGTGTCTGTCAGCTTCCCTTTTTCATACAGATAGATAGAGGAGCCTGGACTGGAGGGATCGGAGATGGCAGAAATAATGAATCGATATCTCTTTTCATCTTTATTAGCCTCTGAAGAACTTCTGAAAACAGATAAGTTATCTCTCATCTTTGAGCTGACACCAGGATTGTTGAGCCACTCTTCTGATACTAACGTGCTAGAGTTGTGTTTCATTCCCACGTCTAGCTCTTTAAACTCGTCAGATTCCAGAAACTTCTTCAGGGTTGAAAGATACGAGTCTTCATACTTCAGAGATGTGAAGGTCAAGCACATCACAACATCAATATTAGGATCAAGGAGGATGGTGTTGAGACGGTTTGAGTCTTCAGTATTGATTTCCTCCAGCATCTCGGTGTGAGAACTCAAGATGTTAAGTTCAGCCTTTGCATGATCTAACCACTGGTTTAGCATGTCAGCATTAAAGGGGGAGCTGTAGTGGATCTTCAGGATGTCTTCCAGTGAATTTTGCTCCATCTCTCCTCCTCGTATAGCAGGCAAGACCTTGGCCACTGCTTTCAGGAGAACCATTTTGTAAATGTTAAGAGAACCCTGAAACGAATGTAGCCTCTCTTTGATGTCATTGAAAACATTTACCAGAGTTTGTCTTGACAGGTCGTTGCATGTCCTCTGTACTTCTCCCAGCCCCTCTATTATATCTTGAGTGTTGGAAACCAGATGTGTGGTGATTTCTCTCATCAACTGAGAAGCTTTTTTATCCAGTAGAAAAAGAGGATAGAGCCAGACTTTTATTGGAACTGCATTATCTGGCTTCTCCTTCAGTATAGAGGGGAGCTTCTTGTACACCTCTAGGGCCTCCAAAAAAGTGGTGGGGTTCTGCTCAAGGCGGACGTCACCATAAAATGTGCAGGCGATGCTTTCAGCCATATTCTTTTGAGCATCTGTCATTTGTAAAGCTCCTTGTCTCTCAATTGAAAATTTAGGGATGTTCTTGACCATGACATTCAGTTCTCCCTCAATCTCCTGCTTAACTTCATCTTCTGAAAATGTCCGATCAAACACCATGACGGCCTGAGCACCGTACAGTACAGCAGTGACCACATGAGTTGCAGTTTTCTGGTCAAAGATCTGAGGGTAAGTGATCTGTCCCAGCTGAGTCATAGTGAGCTGATCAAATCTTGTGGTTTCACTGTAATTCATTGTAACTCTGGACTGTTGGTTTGAGGATTTGGTGTCACGCAGGAACTTGGCAGATCCTCCCACCTCCACCAGCCCTCCCAAGAAGCTGGCCTTCAGGGAATCACTTACATCCAGGAGACTGGACTTACTAGAGAGAGAGTCGGAGCTACTGAACTTCACATCTGTCATGGGCTGTGGACGGGTGTCCAAATCTTCAGTCAGTGACTTCTTATCCCACAGAGTGACACCTGAAATGAGAAATAGCTTCAACAGTTAAGTCAAGTTTGTTTTAAAGCAGCTTTACAGTAATAACAGGAAAATAATGCAACAAAGTTTGTTTCTAGAAGAAAATAGAGCCATCGTCCAGCTTAAGTAAGTTCATTGATGGTTCATCTTTGTTGTAAAAAAAGTTATTAATTTAGATAATATATATATATATATATATAGCTGCTCTGGAAAAAAAAACGTTACGTCATCGTCCAGCTCAGTTCAGTTCTCATATAATAGTGTCAATGCAGGAGATCATAAATATTGTTGAATATTAACGTGTGAGGACGCAATGTACTGTTCAAGTCAACATGCCTATTTTGTATCTATAAGACTTCTAATTTAATAGTTGCAGTGTTTCCTCTAGGATTTTTTCCAGCTGTGGTGGCAGGCCTATTTCCACAGGGGAGGGGTCATCGCCCATGAGTGATTCCCATTGAACCTTACCCAAGAATCACGAGCACTCACACACAGGCCACTTTCTGAAGAATTGAAAAATTAAAACATCTCCATCAAAACAAATTACGCAAGATATATATTTGCAATGATATAAAGTGCCATAGTAAGAGAATGTTATATTCTATATAAAGTGAAAAAAACATTAAGTGAAGAGAACAAATAAATGGTAAAATGTTCCACCTTGCTATTTGTATTGTTACAAAATACATTTATGAAAAACAAGTACATACAGTATATATATATACACACATACATATACAATTTAACTAATTAATTGCACAATTTGCTATGATTAATCGCAATTACAGTTTTTTTCAATCGCTAACAAGCGCTTACCCATACTTCAGATACTTTTTCTAAACTCTTAACACAAAACTAACACCTACAAAACACAATTGGTCAAATGGATAATTTTCTTCTCAAAAACACATTTTGTTAAATATATACTAACTCTTCATTTCAAAATAGAACACATAAACAAAAATATGCATAGACTTTGATGTTTCAGTTTTACAGGTATTTGCATGCAAAACATGCAATCCACCGTTTTTACACGAAATTTCTTGGTTGGGAACTGTATGTCCACATGTACAGTAATGTTGACATTCAAAACAGGCGGTACAGTAGAAACACGGTATGATAGAACAGAAAAAGTTATCTTACGAGAGGTTCTCTCGTATTGCGTATAGCTTACGCTACGGGAAAGATTCATCTTTTCGAGATATTGAAGCCAAAAAATTATCCTTAATTTTGTATTCATTGTCAACGCAGTGCAGCAGCTAGCAGACCTAGAGCAGGCTGTCTAGCGTGTGCGGGAACTGCAGCAGCCTACCACTGAGCCCGGCATGACGTTGCGTCCAATGAAGGGCGCCCGCGCCTTCACAGCGTCACAGCCCGCCAGAATGGGTGTGGCTTAGCGTATATAAGCGGGGCTCGGAGGCTGTTTCTCTGATTTTTATCTCTTCAGCGAAGCTCTTCGCATCGTTGGATCCGAGATAAGCCGCGCCGCCGTTCGAGGTAGCGAAAAGTCAGCTTAGGACAGCGCCTTGCCCTTGAGGAAGCCGGTCATCACCGCCTTCGGCCATCCGTGCGAGCTACGCTATCCGGTGACGTATCCTTTTTCAAAGCTCTCTGTGTGTACGCCTCTGCGACACCCACCTTCTAAAAGAGCGCGAGACGTCTTTTTCAAGATGCCTCGCACTTCCTGCGGCTCGTGCAGAGCCCCACTCAGCGCCGGAGACCACCATGTGATCTGCGCTCTCTGCCTGGGCCAGGAACACGCAGCTCTCACCCTCTCGTCAGGAGGCTGTGAGCTCTGCGAGGAGCTTCCGATGTCGACCCTGCGGGCTCGACTCGAAGCTTTCAAACCCGAAGCTGTCACTCCGCCCTTCGTAGGACCGAGCAAGAAGAAGCGCGTTCTTAAAGGCCCCCAGAGCCTGTGGCCACCACGAAACGCTCGCCGGAGTTCCTTCCTCGAGCTTCGCCCTCGCCGCCCCCCTTCACGGACTCGCAGCCGCCGGCTACGACCCGCGCTGCCGTCGTTTCTGATGACGAGGCGGATGGAGACGCTACGAAAGATCTGCTCTATCCTGGCATCGGACAGCGAGGAGTGGTCGGGTTTTCATCACTCCGCCTCCTCCTCGATCCAGGAATCCGGCCGTACCCGTGCTGGAGTGGACGCCGACCTGATGCGCCTCCTTTCACAGGCCGTCGACCGCCTCGGCCTCGAGTGGTAGCCGCCTAAGGAGCCCGCGCCTAACAGACTCGACGGCAGCTTTCTTCAGAGTCGCCGCCATCAAGCGCCCGCCTCCAGGTCTGCGCCCATCCTGCCAAACTCCACACAGAACTGGCAAAATCGTGGAATGCTCCATTCTCCGCGAGGCTCCAGTCTCATGTCTCCGCGTCGCTCTCCCAAGTGGACGGCGCCGCCGAGAAGGGATACACCTCTATTCCCCCTGTGGAGGAGGCGGTTGCAGTGTACCTTTGTCCGCCCTCCGCTGGATGGCGCTCAAAGTCTGCCCTCCTGTCAAAGGCCTGCAGGACTACTTCTGCCCTTATCAGCCGCGCATACGCCGCCGCCGGACAGGCCGCATCCGCCCTGCACTATATGGCTGTGCTTCAGATCTTTCAAGCCGATCTCCTCCGTGATTGGGACGAGAGAGGTCGGGATCCAGCTGCCGTCACGGACCTGAGAAGCGCGGCGGATCTCTCCCTTCGCGCTACCAAGTCTGCAGCTCAAGCCTTAGGACGATGCATGGCCGCGCTAACCGCCACAGAGAGGCACCTCTGGTTGACGCTTGCTTATATGAGGGAGTCTGAGTGCGCCGTTTTTCTCAACGCGCCGCTCTCCCCTACTGGTCTCTTCGGCCCAGCAGTGAACGGGATCGTAAACCGCTTTTCCAAGGTACAGAAGACCACGCAGGCCATGAACTTGTTCCTGCCTTTGCAGCGACGCCAGGGAGCCCGCCCTAGGTCGTGCTCGGACAGCCGTCACAGGGTTTTCACAAAACTTTCCCCATCCAAGGCGATCAGGGCATCACACATGAATGTAAGTCTTGTGCCCGCTCTCAAGCGCTCACGCTTACTAATAAACGCTTCGCCCAGGGCGCTGCTCGCGCATCACAAAGTGTACACAAAACGCTCCCCATTCTCAGTAATCAGGACGTCACGTATGAAACAGCCTGCTACCGCTTTAAGCGAGCCGCCGTATTCAAGCACCGAGGGACCCCACGCAGTGTGGCAATCAGAACCCTGAGGCCATTCGACCCCTAGCTGTACATATAAAAGCATGGGAAGCTATCCCAGGGGATTCAGAATGGATGCTGAGCACAATAAGACAAGGCTATTCGCTACAGTTCGATTGCCGTCCCCCGGGCTTTCGAGCTCGGACAGCGCCAACAGTGAATTTGGAAGTAGCACAAGTATCTACTAATAGCGAAGCGGTTGTGCAAAGGGGCCATAGAGCTGGTACCGCCTTCTCTGAGCTAGTCAGGCTTTTACAGCCGTTATTTTCTCGTACCCAAGAAGGATGGAGCCCTCAGACCTATTTTAGATCTGAGACATTTAAACAAAGTGCTTGTGAAAAGACCGTTCAAAATGCTCACAACCAGAAAAATCCTCGCGCACGTTCACCCGAGGGACTGGTTTATTTATCTCGATCTGAAAGATGCCTATTTTCAGATTCAGATAATACCCTGTCACAGGCCATTCTTGAGATTTGCCTTCGATGGTCAGGTATATCAATACACCGTTCGGCCTGTTATTGGCATCTCGCACGTTCACGAAGTGCATGGACGCGGCCCTCGCGCCCTTGATAAATCAGGGCATGCGAATTTTTAACTATTTGGACGATTGGCTGATTCTGGCACAGTCAGAGACGGAACTCTTGTCTCACAGAACAGTGCTTCTCAGTCACCTGGAAAGCTTGGGTCTCACGGTCAACTGGACCAAGAGCTCATTAACGCCCAGTCAGTCAGTTTCTTTTCTGGGAATAGAACTGGACTCTGTGGCCATGACGGCTCATTTATCGACACAGCGCACACGCCGTGTTCGTCACCTAGCCGCTTCTTTCCAAAAAGGCAGTATGGTTCCTCTGAAGACATTCCAGAGGATGCTGGGCTATATGGCCTCAGCCGCGGCAGTGCTCCAGCTTCGCTGGGCCTGGACTGCCGGCTGCGAACGAATCAGAGTGACTCAGAGCTGCGTCACAGCTCTGCAGCCCTGGTTAGCGGCCGATTGGTATCAGCGGGGAATGATGATGGGAGCTGTCTCATATCGAAAGGTCATCTCGACAGATGCGTCCAACTCAGGTTGGGGCGCTCTCTTCGAGGGCAGACCGGCCTTTGGCCTATGGCCAGACCAGGAGAAGCTCCTTCACATAAACTGTCTGGAAATGTTGGCGGTCGAGAACGCGCTGAGGCGCTTCCTCCTGTTTTTACAGGACCACCATGTTCTAGTCCGTTCAGACAACATGTCTGTAGTGTCCCCCGTCAGTTCCTATCTGGGACTTTCCTTGGTCTTGGAGGCCCTGAAAACATATCCCTTCGTACCGTTAGATTCTGTGGATCTGAAATACCTCTTGCTCAAAACTGTTTTTCTGACAGCACTGTCATCAGTCAAACGTTTGGGGGATTTACACGCGCTTTCTGTTAGCGCTGCGTGTCTCAAGTTTGGGCCAAATGACTCTAAAGTCATCCTCAAACCAAGGCATGGCTATGTCCCGAAGGTGATTGGCACTCCCTTCAGAGCACAGGTCATTTTATCGGCTCTGCCAGCATCCGATAGCGAGAGTGATATTAACCTCCTCTGCCCTGTCAGAGCGCTGAAGGTTTACATTGCGCGCTCCGCCCCCTTCAGGCGCTCGGAGCAGCTTTTTGTTTCGTACTAAGCTCTTCTGGTTAAGCTGCACTATAATGGGTTGTTATGCCAGACCGGCTGCGCTGCTCTGAATTCCCATAGGGTGCTTAAACATGTGTCGGCCCGCTATGCTGGCCGCCTATTTTTCCCACTTATTTCTGTTCCC